GTCGGTTGGTGGTGGTCAATCTCAATCGCAGAAGGAGCCTATGGTCTTCTAACCCTGGGTAGGCAGCGTGTACTATATACCCAAGTTTGCAATGGAAGACTACAATTGATTAAGACCCACGACACCATAAGATTCGTACAAGTATACATATTATATATATAAGCTTGGTCTAAAAGTGACCGGAACAATCCAAAGGTGACCGATCTTTGACCAAGTCTCCTTTCGTTTTTTTTGCGGTGTCCATTGCAGGACTTAACATGAAATAATTGACTCTTTAGGCCTCTGAAGAAGCCTTGGCACAGCGACCATGTGTCCATCCATTATAGAGCTTCCAAAGGGGTGACCAATGGAGACCAAGAAGTAGTGTAGGGTTCTCCATTGGCAACCCCTTTGGAAGCTGACATTCTTAGTTGATCCAAACCCACCTGGACCTTTCCCAAACGACTCGAGTCTGACGGTCGCAGCGCCCGGTCCCGCAGGCGGTGGCCGAATTGGAGCGCTGCGACCTGCGGAAGCAAGGCCAGGGGGCGCCTATCGAGGTGTTCATGCTGTTCTGATCCCAGCTTGGTGCTCCCAAAAAAAAGGATGACGTGCCCCACGATTCCAAAGGGCTTCATGATGCTTTGGCGGAGGTTCATTGCGTTTTCGATGATTGTCTCAAGGTGAGTTTCACACCAATCCCGGTCGCGTTTTGGAACGCGACCGGGTGCAGGCCATTGGGAGCAGCTGCCCCCGGCGCCTTCTGCACGGCATGGCTCAGCAGCAGCAGCTGCTGGAGGTGAGCCGTGGGATTTTCTTGGTCTGGTCTCCGTCAGCCGTTCATAGCAGAATGAGATTGAAACACTGGTCACAGGATGTTCGGATTGCACATGATGTGTCAGAGGGAGAACCTGGCTTCAACAGCATGCTGTGGCCACGTTCGCGAGCATCATTTTGCAGTCTGATTACAGCTCTTCAGCAGTTTTGCACGCTTGTAACGTACGCTGATTTAAATACTGGACTTCGAGCGCTGCCGCGAAGCACCTTGGTTTTACCTGGAGATCGCAACATATCGCATCAAGACGTTCCCCACATTCCAGGTTTGGGCATCCAAATAAATCCCATTGGGAAATCCTTTGGTTTCTGAGAATGACAAGATCATCGGTGCCCGGAGCCATTGAGAAACAAAAGATCCGCCAATGTCGCCAGAAACGAACCTAAGTTGGCCACGTTCACTTCTTTTATTGCGCTCATTGCACCCGTTTAGAGTCTAAGCCAAGGATGACCTCAGAAGTGCTATAGAACTGAAACACGCAATACTTGCACTCCATCTCTGTACAAGACAGTACTTTACTTCGAGTGATCCCCACCCTGAGACACAGGGAATCTAGTTTGGAAGAAGGCAGGGAATCTAGTTTGTGCTTTGACACATCATCTATCGATCTATCAATATCTATCAATCTATCATATAGGCTGGGAAATGTTCTGGACTGTGGTCTGACATCCTTGTTGTCATGTGTTCTGACTTTTCCTGCCGTGAAGTCTGACATGTGCTGTGACATGGTCCAACTTCGGTCCTGGCATGGGCTCGGACATGTATTTCGACATTTGTTGTGCCATCAAAGAAAGTCTCTTTGGTGTGTCTTGCTAAGACATATGTATATATATATATTTATTCTACTTGGCATTTTCCCGCACTCTGTCTGTCGGGTATATTCTGACATTGTACTTGGCATACAAACTGGTATTCAATCTGGCATGTATTTTTGCATACATTCTTGCATTCTTTTGTGCACTCTATCTGTGGAGGTCCGGCGGTGCCCACTGTGATCAAGCGCTCGCGGTTTAGGTCGGGCGGTGCCCACTGCGATCTAGCGCTCGCAGTTGAGGTCTGGCGGTGGCTGAGGTCAGGTAGTGCCCACTGTGATCTATAGCCTATAGCGCTCGTGGTTGAGGCCCGGTGCACGGTGCCTCTCACTTGGTTGAGGTCTGGCGGTGGCCACTGTGACTTAGCACTCGCAGTTGAGGGCCGGTGGTGCCCAGTGCGACCTAGCCCTCGCAGTTGAGGGCAGGAGGAGCGGGAGGACTGATAAAACCTAACCACCCTCACCTGACAGGTCGGGAACTTGGCACGCAATCCTCACTCATGGACTCAAACCATCCACAATCATGGGACTGAGGCGATTTTGCATAGACGTCCTAATTCGTGGCCAGGCTCCTTCTACCTCATCGGCGGTGACGACGGCAAGTCGTTGGCACCGTTGATGAATGAAGCGCAAGGGACTGTTTATTTTCCGGGGCTTCGGCTCACCAACAACTCATTGATAGATATCAAGCCTGAGGAATCCATGCATCTACGAATCCCCCTCGCTTTCAGGGGAGGTCTAGTCTTGGTGGATGTTTGGGGGGGGCAGGTTGCAAATTCTTTTCCAGCAAGGTAGCTGGATCGAAGGATTCTCCTTGCATGTATAGTACCCTCCAATTCTTTTTGGTGGGGCTGGTGGTCACCCAACCCTCAGACTCACGGTTGTACTGATATTGATCCTCTACTGAGATGCACATCATGGTCCACCAACTTGTGTTGAATTGCATTTCTTGGTTTCGGGTCGCACTACCTCGACCTAAAAAGTACTAGCTCCTGTTGGTGTGACCACAGCCACGGGGTCTATCCAATGTTATACATATCGGCCTCTCGATTACCTTTCCATATATATATATATATATCCAATGTTGGATCCAGCACTGTGATCTATACGCACAAGCAACTAATGCCAGGTTGCGGATGAGATGTTCAGTCACTAGACCGGTTCCAGCAGGTTCACTGCAGTAGTCATTTTAACCAAGAAAATCATTGACGTGTCGTTCACCAGTTAGTTCTCGCGGACAAGGGCACTCACTCTTTGCACTCTGTCCAATGGTTTCATATTCCTCCCAGATGCTGCTAGTGATGTGCAGGAGTGTTCAAAGTGATATTTTTTAATATGTCTTTCAGACCCTAGATTCTATAGACTTCAGGTGCTTTCAGCACACAAAACATACTGCACAACTGCACAACCCTAAACTCGCTATATAGCATGCTTTAGCCTTTTTCAGGTCGGTCGCGAAGCCGTGTAGAGCCGAGGCCACAGTGGAACGCTTTGATCCCATGTTGAAGAGATGGGTGACTCTGTGCCTTCGCTGCACCAAGCACAGGTCACGGCACCCGGCCGGTGGCGGTGCGGCGTCGGGGTACGGTGGGATGGAGCGACCTTTGGAAAAGAGCCTCGTGTGTGGGGAAGATGCCAGGATTTCATATTAGCAACTGCCAAAACGTGCGAGAGGTCGTATGATTTCATATGATCATGTCCTTTTTGTTTCCAGGCGTTTTGGCAGATGCTAATATGGATTTCATAAGTATGAGTGAGACTGGGTCACTGGGTGATTTCATCGGTTTGATGGGAATCGAGAAGGTGTTGAATTGAGTCGAACTCCGAGTCACATCCTGCAGCGTGGATGATGGCTGTGGTGAATGAGGATGGCTGAGGGTTGTGTGATCTCCAGTGCACCAAAAGCAGAACCTGAAAACATGAACGACTCGGAGAGTCCGGAACGCACGTTCGTTGCTGCTTGCTGTACAGTAGGTCACTTGAACAAGTTCTTGAAGGAAACCATTTTAGGTGTGAAAGCAGCACACTCCTAGAAGAGTGCACTTTGTGAGTATATATGCATATTATAGATAGATAAGCTTTAGTGATGATTGAAGCGGGACATTTGGCAAGCGTACAATTGTGATTGTACACTTGGTTTCCCCGGTGCTTTTAATTCCAAGTCCCGAAGTGAGCCACCTCCGAATCCTCCAAGAATCACTCACCCTCTGACCTTCGATGTGCCGGCTACTTTGCGGTGGGAAATTGTTTGGATCAGAACCTGACTGGAACCAAAGCAATCACAAGGTGAAAAGACGGGAATGGATTCTGCTGCCATTTGAGTGTTCAGTTCCTTGACACTTTGACGTATCCCATCCAGGGGGAAGAACACCTAAAAAAAGCAAAAAGCACCGTCGAAGGCCTCCCTTGCCGACGGGGCGCTTCGGCTGTGCGGCTGCAGCGGCCTGGGCGTAGGAGGAGAAGGCGCATGGTCTGAAGGGAATGTTCTCGGGTCGGCCATTGGAATTGATATGTCCAGGAAAGAAACTGGATGGTACAAAGTCATTACCCTGCGGAACTTGGTGTTGGAAGATCTTTCTTTACCATATTGGTTGCAAGTATTGGGAAGTTCAAGTTAAGAGTGCCCCTTGCAGTACAAGCGAAGGCGCAACGAAGGTCATAGGTCCGGCCCGGACCCCCCCAAAAATCACTGCTGACCAGGTCAAGATCTGGCCTTGCAAGCCAAGCCGCGAGGGGCCGCGAGGGGTGTCGGGGCCAACGCGTCGCTTAGGGCCAGTGTCGTGGTTTCCACGGCCAATGAATCACATTTTTCCTGTGAAAACCACAGGATCTAGGTAACCTAGCCTCATGTGAACAGCACATTGCACCGACTAGAGCGGTGGAGAGATCGAACCTCTCTCTTGCCGCGAAATCGCCCTTTGGGCCACAGAAAGGCAGCAGTGTCCTCTCAACTGGGGGCGCAACTGGGTCGCGAAGCTTCGATCTAAGAATGTTAATGTATATAAAGATGGTGTTGGAACATGTCTTAGATGGTGTTTGAACTCTCGGAAACTCCCAAGAACCCTCTTTACTGAACAGTGATCTTGGGCATTTCCGGAAGTTCCCCCCCAAAGTGATCTTGACACCTTTGTTGGTTGAAACGGCTGGCTACAGCTGCCCAAGTGGGCAGCGAGCTGCCGAGTGTCCTCTCCATCCGTTGAAATTGACACCATTTTTTTGAAAGATTGCTCTCGCTCGCTAAAGGAGCAGGTTTCAAACGGACAACTTCAACCCACTTGGCACCTATAGTCGGAGCCATCCCTCCTTTGACGCTTGGAAGGCTCTACAGTTCACTGTTTCGGGAAAAGAGGCCGGTTTCTTCCCTGACGTATTCCGCAGTGAAATCGTCGCCTCGCTATTAATTTGGATCAAGTGTTTTGTTCAAAAGCCTTGGGTTTGGACTCACCTCGTGCGCCATGAACGTCACTGCACTCAGCTCCTTGAGCCAGCGCAAGCCTGATGATGTGAGCCTCAGCCGCCTCAGCGCGATTGATTTCCGAGCCTTTCATCCAAATCAAATCCTGCGAATCCTCCAGGTGAGCAAATCACCGTCCAAATGAAGAAACAAGTCCCAGCCCCAGCACCCTCCTCTGGTGGCTTTTGTAGACTTAAAAGTGTCAGGTGGTGACCTGTTGAAGGGTGCTGGTCCTTATGATCCTTATGACTTCATCACTGCAGGCCCACCAATCACAAAACAGCTCTGATACTGAGCACAATCCCTCCCTCAAGCGAGAAAGGGAATGCTGCAGATCCTACGACAGTGCTGTGTGGTTCAAATTCCCGAAATTCTAAATCCATCGAAATCCACTCCTCACACGGCCATTGCGAACTACCGATCTCGGCCATCGATGAAGGAAGAGCGCTGACGATCGTCCTAGCCCTATCCTGGCACCAAAGACTCCTCGCTCCTCCTTCTACACCTGGATTCCGGACCTGGATCTACCTCGTCACCTGGCGGTGAGGAAGGTGACATTTTTCTACAAAGCATCACCAAAGCACGGAATGATGCGGCTTGTGTGTTTCTTTGTTTCCAAAGGTGGCCAGTTCGTTTTTTTGTTGACATTCCCACCTTGATGGAACATGCATGATAGTGCTTCCCTCCCTCGCAAATATAAGAATGCTGTAGCTATAGAAGCAACATGAAGCAAGCATCTATATAGACGTATTTTTGAAATGATTTGGCTCATGCAGGTGCCAGCATGGTCAGAGGTTCCATTGACACAACAAGTTGCACTGTGCTGTCAGCACCACATCACAGTGGCCTGACCCTTCCATGGAGTATTTTTGATTCACTGCCGGGCCTTCATGGTTTCCGACCTGAAATAGCGGCAATCGGAGGGTTTACTGCATTCGAAGTTGTGCAGTTGCAAGACATGTTGTTTCTCAGACCTAGTTGAGTTGCATGCACATCAAAGTTGTGTGTATCCGACACATGATCACCTGGGGTTGCCGAACATGCATGGGCAGCGATTGGAACAGCGTGGACAAGCTTTCATTCACACAGTTAAATCCGCCCGCACCGAAGGTGGCGTAATCATGGGGTGGGGGCATATTTTGGTGAAAACAATGGTTTTTGATAGGTCACGACGGCGGAATTCAAAACACTGTTTTTTACAGCACGGAATTGACTAGTTCGTGCATGCGCCTGCCCGGAACCGGCAAGAGAAAAGTGGTAAAAACATGTGTTTGTCCATTGTTGGTCTTCGATGTTCGGTTTTGAAACGTGTTATTGTTTTTGTTCATGTGTCTTGTCACGAAAGCCGGGGGGCCGGATTTTCTGATTTCGAATCTGTGTGGGTGACCGTTTTTGCCCTTGTTGTTGGGCAACTGTTTCATGGCGGTGCGGGCGGACCTTGCCGCGGAGCGGCGTGAATATTAACATGTGTATGTTGATCATGAATCATGAATACAATACATATGATATATTATAATGGTTCAGTTGATTTGGAATTGATTTGTATCATATTATCATATCCTTCAAATCCAGATCGAAGGAAAGGTGGTGGAGCTTGAATTTGATACTCCATCTACTTCTGTCTCTTTCAGGATGGTTGCGGGTGATAGACTGCAAAATCACTGCACACCTGATTGATGTTGAGAAACTTCCAACCAACAACGCAGATTGACGCAGAGCTGTGGGGAGCATCAGATCGCAGGTAGAAGCTTCCCCACTGAAGCCGATAAAAGGCGTAAGGTTCCAAAGAGACACACTGGTTGTAGTTATTTTGAATGTTTTTTTGGGGATGTGAAATTTAGCAAGGAGGCCATAGAGGCCCTGAACCCCAGACAATTCTTGAACGCAATGTGTTGGCTGTGCGATCTCCAGATACATCGTGTGGCACTCTGGGGTGGTTTCTTCCAAGGCGGTGCACCTTTGCCACCCACGGGATTGATGCATCAGCTGCACGTGAGCAAACTGGAAGACTTCCTCAAGGTGTGGACCTTGCAAACCCCCCCGCGCGGCCGGGAAGCTCTCGCTGGAGAGTCGAGAAACGGTGCCTCCGTGTGGACCACCCAGAAGTGTCCAACTTGCACAACTGTCCAACGCTTTTCAGAGCGCCAACGACACGGCACGAATTCGAGCGCTTGGAAGCGCTTGACACGAATTCGACTTGCCCCAGAGTTGGTTTTCGTGTGCCCCTATAGATGCTGAGAAGTCTGGAAGCTGTTTTTCCACTGATGACAATAAGACGGTGCTGTTTGTCTCCTTTCGCTTGCTTTTGCCCCGGATGGCTCGGCCGATCCATCCCAACTCGGCACCCTGTACCGCAGACATCGTTCGAAGACATGGGGTGTGTAGCTTAGCTCAACTATAGGAAGACCTACCTGGCGACAACTCGACCCCCCGGGTTCGGTTCGCGGCTGTCGCGGCTGTCGTTCATCGCCGGGTTCGCGGCTGTTGCCAGGAGGTCGCCGGAGAGCCCACGTCTTTGACCGCCAAAGTGGATCGGGCACGGCTCAGCGATGGAGATCGTGTAAGGCTTTATGCCTTGTGAGGTGGACCGAGATGGGCATAAGGAATTCAATGGAATTCATGAAAAAGCATGTAACAAGAAGCTACTAGTAACAAGTGCATCGCTACTAGTAACAAGTGCCTTACTAGTAGTAACAAGAAGCTACTAGTATCCACATATATCTAATTCAGTAAGTGGGTAAGAACAGAGCTCACCCCGACATGAAACTGGCAATTTTGGACCGCATCAAGTAAAATCAGTCTCTTCTGGTCGTTGGACTTAAAGGCAGGACGGCTTGATTTGATTGACATAGAAGTCTTAGAAGCTGGCTGTGATGGATTTATCTTAAAATGCAAAAAGTTCAATCATTGACGTTGATTGATGTTGTTTGCTGTTTCGCTTTCTAAAGCTGTAAGGAAAGGTCTGTGTGCAAGGAATTTGGCGCTTGGATTTGCATCATGCGACACCCGTTACTCGACCTCCCTCCCTTGACAAGTCCTAACAGAGGGACACACCTCCAACAACACCACGCACTGAAAAGAGTGCCTGGTTTTCAGACAATGCAACAAATCAAGAACAAGTCCAGCGCAATCCTTGTGCAGTTCCCCAATGTGCGTGTTTGTACTTGTGTTTGGTGTTAGACAATGTTTGACTCTCAACATGTGACACCCCAAATCTAAAGTGGACGGATAGAAGACATTGACATGATGATGTCAGGGGCAATGGAATCATAGGAAGTCAAATCAGGCAAGTTGAAGCCATGTTTCATCCTCATCGTTCAACCTGTCCAGACTGTTTTCCCTGGCAAGACGTTTCAACTTGCATATGCTTGCATATGCTTGCTCCACCAAAATCAAGCGACCCGGTTTCCGGCGACGGCTCGACCTGAACCCGCCCGGGCCCGAAGTCTGAAGACGAAAGAAAGCAGACGAGTTGTGCGAAGACTCGATGGAACTTCCGGGTCCCTTGGAAGACGACGAAGACGAAGGGTTCCTGAATTTGGCTTGTCCACTTCCATGTCAATGCGTGAGAGTGATACATTCCCATCACTCCCTGAAATCTTGGCTCTCTTACACTTTATATACTTGGAGATGTCATGGGGCCAACAAGAAAGATGGAGGACCTGGTCTTGCGAAGACCAGACAGGCAACCTTCACTTTCGACCGCTGCTTTGACTCTCCTTAGAACCGACTCACAGCTTGCCACAGTGCGATATGTACAATCAACAAAAATACATTCCAAAAAATGCCTGTAAACTCCGTGTCAACACGACTTGTGCCTCAAGACGACTTGCGCCACCCTGGAAGACCGAAACTGTGGATTGCCAAGAAAACATGACTTGCAGGCATCGATCCAATTTGGCTGGCACACTGCATGCACAAGAACACAGCAAGCTGAAGCTTTGACAGAACTACGGAGAACCAGAAAGGGCGCCACTTCATAATGGGACGATTCAAAAGCAAACATCCTATTCTGCCGCAAACAAGGATCGCAAAAGAAAAGGAGGAAAAAGTCCCAGATGGCACAAGTCTCAAGTAAGTGGTTCATGCCATTTCATGCCCATATGGTTTTGTGAGTTTGAGTGGTCCTCGTCGCCAGGTGGGATTCAGCCCGACAAATGTGGTGAATGTCTTGAAGGGGAAAAGCATTTTTTTCGGGACGAATGAACATGCACCCCAAGCGTTCACATCAAATTGTTTAAATTTGGTCTTCGGTTTGTGATTGAACATCAGCAGCCGCTCTGTCGGCAGCTGTTGTGCCTGTTCTTCTCAACGTGACATTCAGAGATCTGAGATAATTATCTCGAAACTGAGGTGTTCATCATAACCGATCATAACATCAATATCCAGGGATAGGAGATTGAGCTAGGATACGCCCCGGCACAATATGTTGATACGTAGTTCCTTTGGGGGAAGGCATTTTAATTCAGGTGTTTGTTGGTATATGCTAGGTATTTGCGTTAGACCTTTGTGGCATGCTGCATGTTCCAGTTGCCGGGAACCCAAGAGCACAGCTACCGCCAGGGGTTGCTCCCCAAAAATCAGCCCTCTCACCGGTACATTGATTTCCCAGATCGAAGGACAGGCACCACCGCCTTGGAAGCGGCAATCATCGACGAAGATGTCATTCTCAATCTTTCAGGGCATCGTGATTGTATGAATCCGATGGACTGAAGTCGAGAACGACACTCCCTGGAAGAGGGACTGCCTTGACCGTAAAGAGTCCATGGGCAGTGCTGAAAAGGCGCTGCTACTGCAAATGACGACACAGGATCGTGAGTTTAACACCCAAACAGACCACTTACGCTAAAGGGGTATTCACCGAGCGTCCAAGGGCCATGCTTGAGGCGGCCAAGTCCCACGAGCCTCCATCAAGTAGTAGGTCTAAATCTTCACTTGAAATTGCAAGAAACGTAGGACGTTCAGACAGAATTGATGTTTCTGGCACCAGGATGTCCTCTAGGAAACCATCGCCAGCCTGGCTGGGCATGCCTGTCTTTGGTCCTTCGTTTGGCAGCTCAAACGTGTGCTTTGCTGCAGCGTGTGCCTTTTCATCAGGTTTGAAGCGCCTATGTCGCTTGTGCTTTGCGTTTTAAGCAAATTGGGCTAAAATTCAAAACGAGTGGTGTACTACATTTGCTCACCGTTTTTGCCATCTACTGTGGGCAAATGGGTCCACGGCCCAAATTCTTTAAAGGGAGCAGGTGGGCAATCACTTTCAATCAAATGCCTTCCCTGCGAGTATTTGCTGAGGTTCTTCAGCAATATTCTCAACGTGCTGGGAGTACGGTGCATGTGTGTAAGGCAGTTTGGCGCGGAGTTTGAGATTTGGACATTGGTCATTCATGTTCATGGGTGATTCCAGGGAGCAAGTTGATTGACGTGTGAGTCGCGAGCTTCACCTGTTATTCCTTCATGAACCACTACCATGGGTACTGACTGCGGAAGGCGGTTCTTTCGGTCGGTGCACCACTTCATGTGCTTTCATGTGCTGTGTGTAACCCTACTGATTGCGCCGATGGACTGCGGCACGAGTGAGGGGGGGCGGGGGCCCTTGCTTCAATCATCCGTTTCAATCGTTGAGTTAAATAATGTTAAAATATGTTAAATACTGTTTGCTTTCGAGCCTTGTTCGGAGCATGCTTGGCAACTACTGGACGAAGCGATGTCGTGACAAACCAAACGGTCGGTACCAATCACTGTATGGTCCACCGGCCGACACATGGTATTGACGGCGCATCACAAATACAGGTGAATTAATACATCTAGATGGTGTCTTACCAAATTTGCTTGGGGGGCCAACTTAGGTGTAGTTCTGATTTCTGACATGCAATGTTCTCTTCTAGAAGCATGTGCAAAGAAGAGTGTCCCAGAAAATAGCATTGCTTTCAAAGATGGATCTTTCAGTCATGAGCTGCACTTAAACAATTGATACATAGCAATACATTACATCAAGCCTGATACTCTTTATGGCCAGCAATTGCCACTTGAGTTGCCACGATCATGGCATACCACACAGAAATCTATGGGGGGGAACCGGGGGACCTGCGTGCCTGGTGAGGGAGACAACCGAGCGACCTGCGAAAAGTGTAAGTCTTTAAGTGATCCGATCCTTTGAATCATTTGAGGTTGGGGGTTTCATCCTAGTCTGAGACATACCTGAAGTTTTCTCCAACAGCTCGCAAAATACACAACTGATTTTGGTGTAGAGCCCCTCATGAACCAACTTTTTGGTTGACTGTAGTCCTGGGTGGGAAGATCACCTTCAGACTGGTAGCCAGGCGCTGCAAACGCTTGACGTTGGCCTTTGATGAGTGTTTTCCTTAACCAGGATTTTTACGGGGTTTTGATCCACAGCTGCATTGCCGCATGGTCTTGTGTTCAAATAGTTTCATCTCTGAGATCTCCGAGCCGAGAACCTGCATCGTCTCCTACAGTCGCGTGAGCGCCAGCTGAAGCTGTCAAAAGAGCGAGGAAGTCTGGGAGATCTCATGAAGTGGTATTGAAGGCATGTGTAGAGGCCTGTTCAAAAACCGTTCACTAAATTTGCCCATATCAAAAGTCTGATTTGGGAGGCGCTGATATGAGCTTTGGATGGGTTTGGGGAACAGATGGGGGAGAGTGAAATTTTCACTTGGATTCTTGACGACCTTTGCCATGGAAGCATAGGAGTGGGCTGGTGTACAAGGTCCCTGCTCCCAGGCGTTCGTCGCTACTGGTGTTTTGACGTGGCTCAAGTGTTTGCGTTGTTCGGACTGGCTCAGTTCCACGGTTCATCGCGCTGCGTCACGATGGCAGAGCCACCTGCGAAGAAGGCCTGGGCTGTGGCCGGGGGTTGATACTCCAAGTCGTCATTTTGAAGAAACTCTATATATAGAAGTTTTACCTCCGATGCTGCTGTTCCTGTGATTATTGTAGCATCTTTTGCCCGTGTTGCTATATTATTTCCTACACTTTCTAAAGGGTGGGCATTCTTAAAGGGATGTGTTATTGTTTTGCTCAAAGAAAATTTATCAGGAAATTGTCATTATGTTTTCTTAGATTTGCTTTTGTTGCTTTTGCGTTTGCTACTTTGACGCTTACGAAGAAAGATGCTATGATGCTATGCTGTTCGGTGTGACAAGTTCCCATCCACATGAAAGCAGGAACACCGAGGAACCTTGGTTGTGTAGAATTGTGACTAGTGGGGCTCCAGACGCTGATGTTCAGCTGATGTTCAGCTCAATGCAGTGGTGGCTCCTTCTCGGCGTGGGTGGGGTTTCTTGGCTGCCAGCTCCGGAGTTTTCGGTTTCCGCTGGCCCTGCTCATCAACATGTCGCCATCCAACCTGCGTAGGGAATCTTGCCAGAGCTAGATCGCATCGTTTCCGATCTGGGAAACGATCTGCCAGCAGCCGCGGGGCATCCACCACTCGGCGGCAAGAATGGCTTCAGTGGCAGTCTCAGCAGTATGACCAAGTTCCTGCGGATCGCTTGTGGTTGTGATCCCTGGCTTGTTCCGTTCATCTCCTAACTTGTCACTAGTCACAGGGTTGCCACTCGAAGTGTACATGTCCGACCGCAGTTGAGTGCTCAAGCAGTGTG